TTGGTGATTTGAAATCGCATTGATTTTTTGAATTTAAAAGTTATGGGCACTTGATAGGGTTTTGTTGTATTTCCCATTGCCGTTTTGTTTGCAACTGGACTCATATGAACTTAATAAAAACATCAGAAGTTGAATGCACTACACAAATTTAATCGAAAAATTACATAAACTTATAGCATGCAATAGATTTATTAATTTATCGGGCATACAATGTTCATACTTCTTATTCACAACATAGCATCCGAACTGCAGAAGCACCACGTAACCACACCTGCGAGAAAACATAAAAAAAAGATAACTTCAAATAATATATCAAAATTTTTACTAAGCTTCACATGCACCTCGTCAATAACAACAAAAAACGGGTCGTTCGTTTCTGAGTTTCTCAAAAAAAAAAGTTTGAAAAAACCTCCCTCAGTTAGGAGTTAAGAAAACAAATGCCTACGGTTTCCGAATAAGCACTTTACAGATATGAAACTTAGCAACATATTAAATTAAATATGTAAGAATGAGAGGAGCAAAAATCGCATAAGATAACCGTAAAAATATTAAATAAAGCATTGTATTGAATCGGTAATTCGTGTGAAACAAAAAAGACGATAAAAAGAGATAATAAAAGATATATCAGCGCACCGTATTAAAGGCATCTTCTGAATATGACGAACTGTTTTACATAGCTGCTAAAGGCGTACCCAGACCAGTAAAAAAAGCACAGTCGTCTTCTTGAGTGACCGGACCAACAGGGTACAAACATTAACTAAAAAGCACTGAAGATATTTGCAATGCTGAACTGTGTAAGGAAGTAAATCTAAGCGCTTTCTCTTACACCGAAAAATGCAATCGTTTAAGAGATAAAGGAAGGGGCACCGCTTCGTCCAGGGTGCCGAAGCTGTGGCGCGCCGCTTGTGCCTGGAACTGGATTCACCACTGAGATGGAGGGCGTGTAGTTGAAGTTCGTCTTCTTCGATTACATAATATGTCAACATATATCCGAGACAGTTGTTTGCAATTTCTTGCCATCGAAAACAGTCTTGAATTGCTCAGGTACCGGAAATTCTACCTGTAATTTGTGAGGATTTACCTGTTGGATCGAATTAGCCGCAAAAACATTAGCTGGTGATGATAAGGAAGAAAGATCGATTCTTTCTTTGCAGAGGTTGGATGATACCACTTTCCCCGAAAAACGCACTCTACTAGTAATTTCCCATTATAAATATGCAAATTACTGAACAATCAAGGCGTTTATCGGGAGTATTCAGCCGGAACTGCGAAAAGTGCCTTCCCTTTTCTCCCCCAAATAAATCCCGGTCGTTAAAATACATTCCTTTCTTATCCCTCCTCGAAGAAGAAGACCGCCAGTGCACCACAGAGCAGCACATTTTTTGCGTATCAACTGCTACAGTGAAGGACAAAAAGAACTTACAAAGTCACCCTCTTCGCCAGACGGTACAAGTATGTTCATTTCAGAAGATTTACTCGTTATTATTTCCGCATTTATCGCATCTTTGCTGAGATACACTTGGCATCCATCGGTTTTCTGAATTGATAGCGTCGGCATCGCCCCAAGTGTCTGTATAATACAAAATTGTATGAAGTGTTCCTTGTGAAATTAACCCATAAGAGGTTTAAATAAAATTACATTTAATTTTGATTTAATTTTAAAAAATCAAATAAACTTAAATTTTAAATAAGCTGCTGGATTTCAAAAGCCAGCAGGAATCCCGAATCTTGAGCATTCTAAATCATCAGGGATTTTTAAGCAGCTAACTTATTAATGTGGGCGGGTAGCATATGTCGAATAAAAACTGATTCATGATGCTCCCTTGCTTAAATTTATTTCTGTTTTGGCTTACGTAAGTTTACAAAATCACCAAAACCCTCTGGAAATTACTATGCTTTTAAGGGTTTCCAGGATCCTGGTTTTTTTTTACAAATTAGTGACACTAAAGGGAAAGAAAGTCGAACTCATACCTGTATTTGCACACTCTGGCAGTTAATCACTTCAATCTGCGACAGCAGACTGTCGAACACAATCGACGTCTTCTTGCAACTGTCCAGTGTTATTGAGTTCACTTTTCCTTTCACCTGCATTTAAAAAAAATTTTTTCAGAAACCATGGCACTGTGACATCAAACGGACAAAAAAAAAGGCCGTTCACGTCTTCCATTATATAATTTTGACCGTTTCAGTGATCCACAAAAAAGAAATAAAAACTCTTTACGGCTAACAGCATGAGTTCCTCGCCTAAAAATCTGGGAGAAGTATGAGTTTCTAGCCAGATAAGGCAGTAGCAGTATAAGGATCAAAGCGAACCGTCAACATAACTTTTTTTTAAAAGTAGTTTCAGAAACGCAGAAACTACGGACACAGCACATTATAAAAAAGTAATACTGCTCTCGTGCTAAATGTTAGATGTTCGATTCCGTCGGTGAGACAATCAATCCCTCAACGATTTGCTCATTCGTTTCAGCGGTAAACCAGTGGTGATGCGGCGGGAAGGGGGGAAAGGAGGGCGGGGGGGAAGGAGAAAGATATAAAAATTACCATCAACCTGCATCCAAGCAATTCTCAAATGAGGGTACTACTAACAGCCCTTCCATCACTCGGTTTAAAAATACAGCAAAGCAATTCAGAACAAGATGAGCGTACTTAAAGTGCTCGAATATACCTGGATAATACTGTTCTCGCATTTAAACACGTACACTGTCTGTTTCATATCACCAATTTCCACAGTTACATTCTTGTCGTTCTTGTGATACTCCTGAAAATGCTCGTATCAAATTAGCGCAAAACCTATCAATTAATTTTTCCTTAGATGCGAAAATGCATTTTACAGAAACAAACAATAAAGGTAAACTGCCTAATAACGCCAGAAGCGGTTTTCAAGCATAAAGGCTAACCACATTCCACTGTTTTCCATTCTCCAGCCATGTTTTCGGCGGCTTATCTTCCTGTTTCACGACCAGTGATGGTGATGCCGTGGCAGTTCTCTGTGTTGCAACAGGAACACTTTCATGCTGCAAGAGAGGATGAACAGTCACAAACTCTTTGTGCTTTTTTTTTCTTCAGGCCCATCTGAGTCTAAAAATCTCAATGCAAATCTATTATGCCCTCAGTTTTTCACCCAAAAATACGATATTTACATACCGGTCCAATTAACAATCAAGGTTCAGGCGAAATACTTAGGTTCAAATCTTGCTTTTAGATCTATTTTGCATAAAAGTTACTGCAAATCACTGAAACAAATAGGTTAAAATGTCTAAAAATGTGGAATTTTCGACGTTCATCACCTGTGCTCGAAGTGCCGGATTTTTATGTGTTTGCATATCAGGTGTTACTTTCTTCAGACGTTTCGTGATTTCTTCACCAGCATTAATTTCGGCAAACAGTGCTGCCCGGTCTGCATCCGCCTTATCAGCTACATTTGCACCGGCTGACGCAAGAAGATCTACAAATTCGCTTTAAACGTATAGCCCAAAAAAAGCAGCATCTCCTATCAAATTTGAATGTTCGCGGGAAAAGTCTGTGTGATTTTTAGAGATGCAAAATGAAATAAAAAGATCGCCAAATGAATCCATCGCTTGAGCGATCATTACCTTACGCTCGCCCACGGAGTTGGGAATTTCCTATATGACAGACTTTTAGTACATCTCCAACTACGTGTGATCCACTTTGGACGCAAAAACGATGTACGGAATTGTAAGACTTTTCTGAATGGCAAAAACATAAGCAGGAAAATGGATGCCAACGTAAGGAGCAACCCCGGTATCAGTCCAAGATGCAAAAATGACCCGACAAAAGGTTACGTTTAAGGCAATCAAAAACAAAAGAGTATCATTACTTTAAGGCAAAAAAAAATTTTTT